AATATGTCATTCAATCTTTTTCTAATCTTTTCATCATCTTTAACAAGAAAAGATGTTAATAATATTTTGAGTTCTTTTATCACAAATTGACCGTAAAGATGCTGAAAAGATTTGAACTTTTTCTTCAATATCTTTACCATCTTTCACCTCAAATTATTGATTGTTTCACCCAGTGATATTAGAGAGCAGAATGCGAGAACAAGTGAGTAAAATGCTAGCACTAGAGAGGAGGAATGCCAGAACTATCATTTTGCTCCCTAGTACTAGCATTTTGCTTCCTAGTTCTCAAATTTTGCTCTCTAATATAGCATTGATAATCGTAGCACATATACACTGTCCACTGCTAAAGACGAACACCAAGGCTACATTCTATGAAGTTGTGACACTGTCACAGTATTGTCTTCATTTTTTTGAGCTGAAAATTATGAAAGTGTTAAAACACCTTCAATTAATATCTTCATCATCTTTTTAATATTAAAATGGCTATCTTCATTAGAAGATACCACAATCTATATTCTCAATCTATCATGCATGAAGATGATAATGCTAATGCTAATATTATTTTAAACAGTTTACTGGAATGTATTCAAAATAAGTTTTAACTTTTTAAGAAAGTATAATATAAAATACACTTTTAAATACTTTTAACAAGCTTCAATCAAAAATATGGTGATAAATTTGCATTTTCTCTCCAAGTTATCTATCATCTTTGAGATGTAGATACTGAAATTCTCACCCAGTGTAGAGATATAGGTGATTGCCTAGGCTCAATACAGTCTCTTAAGCATGATTCATCAATTGACATAGTCTATCAGAGTCGAGAGGACTTTAGCAGTCACTTTTTATAGGGAACAAAGTTCACGTACACATCAACCAAGACCTGAGCATAAAGCCAGCAGTAGCAGACAGACAATTGCCTTTTTCAGAGCATTACTCCTCACAAACTCGATTAGGATTCTGAGTCATATTTGTGATTAGTATTCAAGCGCTGGAGGCCAATCCGCAAACTAACCCTAAACACCTCCAAACAGAGTCTACAAGTGTCAGGGCAGACATCTGCTCTGAGCAATCACACTCAGCTGTCACAAAGCACAAAGCACTTAACCCAATTACAGGCAAGTCTGCTTGTGACCTGCACAAAGAAATCCACAACATAAAAGCCTGCCACAAGGGCTAGGCTGAGGATGGCACACAGTGGCATACAACCAGCAATCAGGGCAAAGCCCTGATGCATGACCTTGCACAAAAGGTGAAAGAGGAGAGCTGGCCTGCTGGTCACATACAATAGTATAATGAATCTAAGGTCCTCTCTTAGATTCTTATAGGCTTATATACTGTACATGTAGGGCTGGATCCTGATCACTTTGACTATGGTGTACCTATTGAGATCCTAGTAAGCTACATGTGGAAATATCATGCCAGAACCAGTAAGGGCTCTGGCAGCAACTATGGCAACTATATACAAAGGCCATGGTTATGCCAAGGTAATTCTATCTCATCCAATGGGATAATTGCCTGTAAGTGGGCTCACTGTTGAGGGGCCAATGGGTGATGGTCAACAGGACACATCACAATGGTTGTGACTTCTGGTGAGAGGATCAGAACAATGGGTGGGATGATCAGTCTTCATCTGAATAAGTTGTAAGAAGATTCAGCCTATCCTGTATTTAGCTATACTGTATACTGGTTGATAGGGGATTCTAAGTTGTGGTGCCTGCCTATTGGCTGGGCAGCAAAGTGGGACCACTATGTGAGTGGTGAATTGGGTGCTTGCTAGCTTGATGGTTCAATGAGCTTGAGTAAGCCTATTGTGGGCCAAAGGGTTCCATTCTGGGCAAGTGGCCAGTGTTACATGATCAACCAATAATATTGCTAAATATGGCAAGTGGCTAAATAGTGTTTGCACAGGGGATTCTGGCAAAGATAGGTTTGTTATGCTCAAACGGATGATGCATTACAAATGTTTTAGTGCAAAAAGAAATGTGCCACCTAATACTGTGACACTAAAAAACATATGTAGTAAAGGCAGATGAGGCACAATAGGTGGGATGATGTGCCAGTCCTGCAATCGAGTCACTGGTGGTGGGGCCAACAACAACATGCAGACCATGCAACTGTGAGGGTAAGAAAGTGGTGGACTGTGCATGGCAGTTTGAGACAGTCAGTTCTGGTGAGAAGCTCAGTGCAGTGGGCATGCATACCATGTTGAGGCCCAGTGTTTGACTGGGCTATGGAGAGTGGGAGGGAGTAAACGAGGAGGTTGGTTAGAGAAGAGAGAAAATGAATGAGAGGAGGTGGAGGAGAAGTGAGAGAATGAGTGATGCTGACCCTGACTGGCCTATATATTCCACAGCTTCAGATATTTACGCCTAGACCTCTGACTCATTGAACACCTGAGCATCTGAAGGGAAAGGCAGAACTAACAGCATGCAGGTCAATGAGCTCCACACATCATTAACGGCAACATGCATGCATCTCGAACCTACTTAAAGCCCATCAATTTTGCTGCAAAATGAGCTGATAGAACATCCAGTGTCTCGATCTGACACTGTCATCTTTCAGAAGTTCAACCATATGCACAGTGAGCCCGAGACCACACTTGTCACTATCTGTCACATTCAACAGATCACACAGTCTTGAAGACAGTCCACCATCTAAAGACCCTGGACGCCACAGGTGTATGGTGCTCTGGAAGGCTGGGAGCAAGCCTACAAGGATTGGAATCATCTGTACTTACCAGAACCACCAGAATGGGCAAAGTCCATGTAAGGAAAACTTCTGTGTGATCTTCACAATGATTGTGATATAGCCATAAGGATGAAGATGTTCAGGTGATGGCACTTCAGATGACTCGATGCGAGATGTGCAAACAGATCATTAGTGCTCAGCGGAAACTGTGAATAATTAATTGACATGCAAGCCACATTTGTGAATAATAGAAGCATGCAGCTGACATAACATGGAACATCTCTTGAAATCTTCTATCCCACATCTATCAACTGAATTCATCTGATAACCCCATCATTATCTTACCCAATCATACACACACTCAACTATATCCTCAAGTCTGTTTCAAAAAAACCTGCAGGCCTCACACTCTTCAGAAGGAGTCACCCCTCTATACCATCGCATCTCTAGGAGATAGAGCAGAGCAGTTTATATGTACTCACCTCACTTCACAATGCAGCAAATAGTACTATCAGACCTGGGGCATAGAGAGATGGTGACTGAGCATATCAGCATACTACAGTATGAGGCACTGCTAAAAATATGGAGAAGTAATACAGACATTTGGACAAATTGAAAGCAGAGGCTAGTGCAGATGAATATTTGCCCATATCAGAAAACTTTCTTTCTGACCCCAGGTGCATACACATTTGCTCATGATTCACTAATTGATAGAGTATTGTTATAGTTACGAGAACATATCTATGTACAAGGCCAGCAAATGTACATGTACCTGCCATCTGAAATGTAATAATTGCAGGTTCAAGGACATAATGACCTCTCTATTAGGCTTTGTTGAACATGGTAGACATGACTATCCTATTGGTAGAATGAAAGTTGAAGCAGCAAATAGTGGTGTAAAGAAGTGAAAGGCTATTTGAGGCCCACTTAGCATCGTATCTCATGCATAGAATGTGTAGCTGAATATTGCTATGCTCTTGTGCATCTAATCATGTATTCTCATGTAACACTTTTGGCCTCCAATAAAATAAACAAAAATGCTGTCAGAGACTGACAATCTGATAAAACACAATGTCAGAAATGAGCCTCAATCTCATTTTTCAATACCTTATTTGTGGACTGCATCTCCTGCATGATTGACATGCACCTGTGAAATTTCTTGATGATACTGGGATGGAAGTGTCTCTGTGTTCAACGATATGTAAATGTGCTGTTTGAAAGATCTCTTCAGTTTATATTAGAAGAATTAAAATACAGTTAGGGTTCTCTGATAGAATGAAGACAGAATTAATGTATATATCTTCCTTATTCAGTTAAAGTAGCATTTTTGTAAAATGCTATCTAAATCAGTTCAGATCAGCTATAACTTAAATTGCTTCAATGTATAACACTTATAGTATGCTTTTGGTAAACAGCATGAGAAGAACACAAACAGTTGATAGCAGAAGCAGCAGCCTATCTTCAGCAAATGTTTAAGAATTAATAAGACCATAGTCGTCTTAAACTCAAGTCTTTTTTATGTGTATCATGGTTGTTGCAATATAATGGAGCAAGGTTTACTATGATCACATTTTATTAATGTTAATGTTCTCATGAGAGGTGCAAAAGATAGTCACAATATTTTCATCATCTTTGATCAAAGAAGAGTGAAAAAAAGATTTTGAAACTTTTTGTCATAGTTTTGTATGAAAGATTGTAAAATGATCGAAGAAATGATTATTAATATTTCATCCAATCTCCTTTCAATCTTTTCATCGTCTTTCACAACAAAAGATGTTAAAAATATTTTAAATACTTTTATCACAAATTGACAGTGAGGATGCTTATAAGATTTGAACTTTTTCATCAATATTTTTACCATCGTTCACCTCAAATTATTGATTGTTTCACCTAGTGACAGATACCTTGTCTGCAAGCAGACATTCAACCTCTGCCATCTCATGATTGGACAAATCTCCATCTTCAGCATTCAGCTTGATTGCATCCTGAATATGCTTACATTCAGAAACATTCTGCTGCACCATTGTGGAGGTCATGAAGTTGGTGGCCTCTGCAACATCAGCAATAGCATCTGCATTTAATGCATGGAGTACATGATGCCATCTGCAATGCTTGGCTGGATGAGGTCTAAAACTCTGATCATCATCTAAGTTTTCAAGTCATCTGCAGTTAGCTGAAGTTGGAACAGGCTGAATGGAGATTGACCATCTCTTCATCCCATTGACCATGAAGAGGCTGATCACACAAACATTCTTCACTGGTGCAGGCACTGCAAACTCAGCAGCAGCCTCATGAGCAGGCTCTGTGAAAGCTTATCCAACATGGAAGGCTCCCTTTTCAGTCATGACCTTGCCCTCCATGAGCTCCAGAATCTCATAACAGAGAGGAAAGGGGTGGGTGATGAGCCACTGGGCTACTTTAGGGTGTGCCTGAATCAAATGAGATTTGCAACAAGCAATGCTCAAGATCAACATACATACCTGGATGTACACCTCTATAACAGGCTCCTCTGTCACCATAACTATCTTCTCATCATCCCACTCATAGCCTGATAGATCCCTGAGCTTTTGCACTTGCAAGAAGTCAGCCTTGAGCTATATAACAAAAGTCATCAAATGCTTCAAGGCCAACAGGTCAGAAATACTCACATTCATCCAATGATCACTGCACTTCATGGCATTCTTGCATCCTCCCTTGTTTAAGCCCTCAGCCTTCACAGCCTTTAGAACAGCATGCTAGACCTGAGTTTTCCATCCATTGTCAAAGAAGTTCTCACTGAGCTTCTGTTTCTTGAGAATGTGAACAAGAATCTCATCATCTAGAGTGGTTTAATAACTTTCTTGCTGCAAGTGGCAGCCTCAGCTGAGGTGACATTCTCTTTATCAGATGGAGGCACTTCAGGCAGAGGGTCAAGAGCACTTCACTTTGCCATAGCAAGCACTGGTGATGCATGAACAGAAGCTAGTGTAGTGTGAAGACAGTGCATGAGCATAGCACTAATGCATCCAGTCACTCATGGCATGTCCATGACAATGTGACATAAGAACATTGGAAGACCATCTGAGTCGAGCAGACCTCAAAGCAGACAGCCTAAGTGGATGCTTGCATTTTCCTTGTGCAAGCAGAGGTCAAGCACCGCTACCGAATAGGAACTTAGTTTTTTTTACCCTGATCTATGCTCCTTATATAGCTCTATGGATCCCCAGCTCTTGAGATTTCATCAAGTACATACACTGGAATCTGGGCCTAATAGAGCAAGAATGCTGTGCTATTTATGAGAGTGATCTGTTGACTTTAGCTGTAGAACGAGCTAGTAGAGTGTCAATCTCGCCAGTGATCAAGGTGGTATCTGAGATACAAACTGATGGATTTACCATCCCTATGTACGTGTGTTTATATACACCCAGGACCTCTGCACATGAACCACTAAGGGCCGGCAGTGATGCTCACCGATAACTGGCACAATATTCCAACACACCCTCTTGAGCTAGCTACCACTGGGTGAAACAATCAATAATTTGAGGTAAAAGATGGTAAACATATTGAAGAAAAAGTTCAAATCTTTTAAGCATCTTCACTGTCAATTTGTGATAAAAGTATTGATAATATACTTAACATCTTTTGTTGTGAAAGATGATGAAAAGGTTGAAAGGGGATTGGATGAAATATTAATAATCATTGCTTCAATCATTTAACAATCTTTCATACAAAACTATGATGAAAAATTTCAAAATCTTTCTTCACTCTTTTTTGATCAAAGATGATGAAAATATTGTGACTATGTCACACCCTTGTTTTCATATACTAAGCTAGTACTAAGATATGGAGGTTAATACTTAGGTCCAGATATTAGTACTATCTCTTGAAGCCTTAGTACTAGCATAGTACTAGCATAGTTTTAAGCTAGTACTAAGGTCCGCAGATCAGTACTAAGGTTTGAAGGTTAGTACTATGCTAGTACTAAGTTAGTACTATGCTAGTACTAAGTTAGTACTATGCTAGCACTAAGTTGGTACTATGCTAGTACTAAGTTGGCACTATGCTAGTACATACTAAGTTAGTACTAAGGTCTGAATGCTAGTACTATGCTTGTACTAAGATCTAAATGATAGTACTGTGCTAGTACTATGCTATTACTAAGGTCTAAAGTTAGTACTATGCTAGTACTAAGGCTTCAAAGAGTAGTACTGTACTATGCTAGTACTAAGGTCCAAATGCTAGTGCTATGCTAGCACTATGCTAGTACTAAGCTAGTGCTAAAATGTAAAGATCAATGCTATGCTAGTACTAAGGCTTCAAGAGATAGTACTAATATCTGGACCTAAGTATTAACCTCCATATCTTAGTACTAGCTTAGTATATGAAAACAAGGGTGTGACATAGTCACAACATTTTCATCATCTTTGATCAAAAAAGAGTGAAAAAAGATTTTGAAATTTTTTATCATAGTTTTGTATGAAAGATTGTAAAATGATTGAAGCAATGATTATTAATATTTCATCCAATCTCCTTTTAACCTTTTCATCATCTTTCACAATAAAAGATGTTAAGTATATTATAAATACTTTTATCACAAATTGACAGTGAAGATGCTTAAAAGATTTGAACTTTTTCTTCAATATGTTTACCATCTTTCACCTCAAATTATTGATTGCTTCATCCAGTGTACTGCTTCTGCCCTCTCATCCATCAAAACGCAAAGGTATCCTCCACCATGGCAACTCCCATCACTTCCTTCCTATCCAGGCAGTCATGATGAACATGCCCTATCTTCCTGCACCTGTAGCAAGTTACAGGGCCTCGCTTCTTTGACTTGGTACTCCCTGATCCCACGTAGCTCACCATCTCCAGCTCATCTGCACCATCTGGTCCACCATGCCTTGTCTCCTCATTCAGGATCTTCACACTGATCTGGTCGAAGGTCCACTCCTTGATGTCCATATTGTCGACCTGAGACACCACCCACCCATACTTGTCTGTCAGTCCCATGACCAAGACCAACAATTTCTGGATTTCTTTGACCTCAACATCGACCTCCTTCAGTGCCCTCACCAGACCCTTCACCCTAGTGATCCATCTCTGACCTGACTCGCTCTCTTGCATCCATGCATAATAGAATGCCCACCACTTGGCCAACTCCATGGTGAACCCCTTTGCCCTGTGGATGTCATGTAACTTGAGCCAGCACTCACGAGGGTCCTTCTCCTCTTCCAAAAGTTTCAGTTGATCCTCCTCCACCCAGAGTACGATCTCTGCCTGTGCCTTGGCCATCTTGGCCTTCATCCACTTTTGCAGCACCTTGCTCAATGCCTCCTCCAGTGTGACTCCCTCCTTCACCTCCACCTCTACATCCACCTGCTCTCACAGATCCTTCTGCACCAGTGCCACCTGCATCTTCATCACCCACAGCCTATAGTTACCCTCCACCAACTGAGGGACCTTGGCAGTATCTCACAATTCTTCAGCCATGGCGCAACACAGAGAGAATGAGGATTAAGTCTGAGAGGTAAGGCAGGCAAACGAGCAAAAACTTGATATGGCTGATTGGTTTGTGTTGACTTTAGCTGTGGAATGAGCTGGTAGAGTGTCAATCTTGCCAGTGATCAAGGTAGTATCTGAGATACAAACTGATGGATTTACCATCCCTATGTACGTGTGTTTATATACACCTGGGACCTCTGTGCATGGACCACTAAGGGCCGGCAGTGACGCTCACCGATAACTGGCACAATATTCCAACATGATCTACCACATCTGAGGAACTACGAGTCTATGTTCTGAGGAAGTGTTGCTAAAATGAGAAGTGAAACATGAATTTAGAATGTAAAACACAAACCCTACTCTGAATTGAGAGAAGGATCCAAGGGCTTGGCTTGAGGATCTGAAGAAGCATAGATGCTGTGCATCTGCAGTTTTTGAGAAATGAAAATATGAAGTAACCTGAATATGAATGTGACAAAATTTGAAATTCACAGCCACTAGAATCAATAGAGTTAGCAAACTCTAGAACTGAAGGACTCATGTGATCCAAATTGAGCATCTATCACAAGTGCTTAGGCACATGATTGATTGACAGTTCACTTCATAACATTAGCTCCTCCCTTTCGAGCATTAAGACCCTTTGAAATTTTGAAACCTTGAGGTCTTCACTTTAATGTGTAGCTCATAGTGAATGAGCAAATTGTTTGCAGAGTTCCTTGTAGGTGGAAAACATAGTGCAGGTTACCATCCTGGGATTGGAGGTCCAATGTTTGGGTGACTGTCACTTGTCTGACAGTAAGTGATGCCTTGGATAACTCATTCAAGGTGTTTAATCTCTAAGAGATGACAGAGATTTATAAGTGGCTGCTCAATTGGTGATTGTGCAGATACATGTGTCCATTCATTATCAAGAGTGCAAATCTCTTCCCTTTCAACTGGTTGTCTCCACTGTGAGGTGTGATGTGATTGGTGACATCTCATTCAAAATTATGGATGGTGATAATCTCAAAATTCCAGGTCTAAGCATGGCATGAGCACAGTGAAGGTCAATCTATTGTCCAGAGACCTCATTGGAGTCATTTAGACATAGTCAAACTACCAAGGTAGGTACATCTTGAGGTCCATTATTTATTAACTATTGCTGCCCTCAGATCCTATTGTATGATGTTCACCCATTGCTAGGGCACGTCACTATGATCATCCACCTCGGCCACTTTTTCCTGCTTGTGACAAGAGCATACCTGAGTGTCGCATGCACTCACTTTTCAACACACCCCCTCGATCGCCATCGTTAAGTGGTCAGAATAGGTGAATGTGGCCATTGATATATGCCACCTTGGCCTTTACCTCCTTATCATCTGGCTTCCCCTCCTCATTATCTGAGTTGTCCTTGTTATCATCTGACTTGGTTGGACAGTCCTTCTGTATGTGCCCTATTCCTCCACATTTGAAGCACTTATGCTTGTCACCCCCTGCAGCCATCTTCCCTTTCCTGTTTTCTGCCCTAGCCATCATGGCTACCACATCTTGCTCATTCTTTGCATCCTTTTAATGGGTCTCCTCATTCAGAAGTCTTGCTGTGACATTCATGACAGTGAGCTGTTTGGCTGAGATCAAGTCAAGATGCACCAATTCGATGATGAGATCCCTTGAGAGACATACTTGGGTCTCAGGCAGATTCATGATGTGCTTTTTCAGCAGTGTTGATGAGATGACTGTATACATTGCTACAGACCATTAGCTGTCCAGTAAGATGGGGTGCAGCAACTGAGAGATCTACATATGAACACAAACATTCAGGCATGATTGCAGGGCACTCTGTGAGGCCAATGATCCTCACCTCATCATGAGTATGCATGTGTGAGAGTGACTTGGCTGGAATTCCATTTATGATGTGAGAAAGCATTAGCTTGAGAGACCACTTTAACTTGATGGAAAAGTAATAACCTGGAATATAGCCACAGCCACATGTGACATGATTACTATAACTAAGTTGCCCGAAGCACCTTAATTACAGCCTAGGACGGGATCATCCAGGATTGACACATCAGTGATAGGCAAGTGACTTGAACTTCCACTTCACTGTTGACATTATGCTGAGCTTTGTGCTGTCAACGATGGCTGATCCAGCCAATGAATCACATGAGTATGAGTGGGTGACAGGTTATTCATTCTCCGATGGAACTGTCATCCTCTTGTTGGGAATCCACACATTATTAGTAAACAAGGTCAAGTTTTCAGAGGAATGGGAACTCCTCCAGGCTTTGGTAACCATTATATTCAATTTTGATAACACTATTGAGGGTCAGCCATTCATCCGGTTGGATGTAGGTGTGCAGGAGATAAAGATGCTGCTGAACTATGTCTATGACATGTACCAGTATGTGTTTCATTAAATAATTACTCAAATTTGCTCTATGTACATATTTATAGGTCTCGTTCATAGGACACTCATGAGTTTTTTGAGCTTGCAATGCTCGAAAGGCTCACCTTCAGATACAGGATGCACACTGCCCACAAATTCATGAAAGACAGAGTCCTCACCTGTTTCTCCCCCAATCCCAAGGTCTGGACCATGAACATGCATTAAAAGCTGGACTTCAAAACTATGTGGCAGTGCACCTTCTCTAGTCCTAAGATATTGTTCATATATGATAATGGCATTATTGCACTTTGACTTGCACAGAAAGGCAGAATAATAAAGATACTCCCTCTTACTTTCTACCTCATTTCTCAGACAATGCCTGATATCTTGTATGAGAGGTCAATGGGGTTCATCGACATGCAAGATATCAATGATGCTGATGACTCATCATAGCAGTTTGCAGTGCTATTGCACTGGCATCATGGTGCAAGGCAGTTGTGTCCAACGTGTTTGGTATTGGGCCTGAGCCAGGTGTTGGATGCAACACACACAAGATTTGTGAGACCCACTGGGCAAAGCTAGCCACCAATTCTCCCCCACCCCTTGACAAGCTCGAGGTCATTGATATCTTCCTACTTCTTCTGTACTTCGACACTTTCACATGTGCACAGCACCCAATGTTGTGCATCAAGTGTGCACAAGTTATGCATAGACATTGCAAGGAGGAGCATCATCAGATATGGCTGGGGCTTCTCAAGCTTCAAGGTCTGTCTGAGAAGGACAGAAAAGCATGGCTGCTCACCTTGAGCGATGATTTTTGAGACTGCATTGTAGTATAACTATCCCTTTATGATTTCTAGGAAATAATGTATTAACCTCATTTTAGGGCAGGTCAGTTGAAAGTGACCAGTAGAGCAGGGTTAGAATTCATATGGTGCAGTGGTGCAGTTCCATCTTTGTGATTTAGACTGTATGATAGATGTGATTTCATCTTTATGATGTAGGCAGTGTGATGCATAAATGATCATGCAGAGTCTCACATTTGCAATGGGCTAGCATGTGCATATTGCATTCACATTAGCATGTAATCATTTATCAATGAGATCCTATAGACATTTGCAAGAATGACCTCAACATCAACATTGACCCTAAGCAACAGGAATCTTGAGCACCATCATCATGGTGGATCATCAGCCACCTCAAATGCTCACCCATTCAGATTTGTGCCAGTTGTTCCTGCCACACAGCAGGGTGAAGGTACTGAGCATAATGGTGCATGTCAATGCAACTCATCTAGTCTCCACTGCTCAGGAATTTATGCATTCTCATGCACTGCATGTGGCTGTGCTAGTGCATCCATTATAGGAATTCAAAGTAGCAAGTCAGGATGTAGGTATGTGATGTTTCAGACTGCACAAGAAAATCAGACTCACATGGTGAACACTGATATGCTCTGTTGCCACCTCCCTATGGTGCATGGTCTGGCAGTACCATTCGCTTCATTGTGGAGTGAGGTAAATACAAACTGCTCTGCTCTGTCTCTGAAAGGCATGATGGTACAGGAAGATGACTCTTTTCTGAAGGGTACGAGGCTCGCAGGTATCTTGTGACTGACTTGAGGATGTGAAGGTGTGCAGAGTGGGTTGGGATGTGGTAATGGGAGTTGCGTTAAATGAGAGTGACTGATAGGTGCATTGCAGAAGGTTTCATTCAGCTGACCAATCTGATGGCTAGACTATAACAAGGTGCTGGTGCTGTCCACGTGTGTGGTACCACTTTGGGGGATGGGTGTCCCACATTATGTCAGCTGAATGCTTCGAATTGATCACAGTACGTATGTTACGGTTTCAGCGCTTCATGGTCACGTGACAGTTTACGTTGCACGTGGCACTTACTATTTATGGTTCATAGGTCTTGTGGACATATGCTAGGGTTAGCAGTTT